CCAGGCCCCTAAATGAAACCTTGTGCACCAGAGCCAAACCTTGCCAATGAGCGAGTCTCAGCCCAGTGTTGGGGAGCAGATCCAAGACTCCTGCGTCTGGCAGCAGAGCTGGGCCAGGACCTGTGGTCCTGTGCTTGAGCCCTGCAGCCCTACCCCACAGGGACAGAGGAGGGAAGCCCCAGAGCTTACCATGGACTCGCTGATGAGAAGCAGCAGGAGGGCTTCCTCAATGTTATCCTTCGGGCAGTAGAGGCTGAAAGACACAAGCGGCAGCCCAGGCTCCAGGGCGGCCCGCATGAAGCAGCAGGGCTGGGCTGGCCCACCATGCCGGCCCTTCTGCCCCAGAGTCAGCAGCAGCCCTGGTCAGGTGACCCTCTCCTGCATAATTCACCAGCAGTGGATACCACATGCAGCTCTTTATCATGGCCCGGAGTCATGGGTCTGAAAGGCTGTGGTGGGCACTGCAGGGCTCCGGGCAGGAAATGTCCTTCCCGCACCTGCGCTGCATGAAGCCGCTGGGCAAGGAGCTGGGAAGGGCAAGAAAGCAGCTTTGCCAGGCCAGTCACATACCTCACCTTTCACTTATTGGCACAAAGGAGAAAAAAGGTATATTAAGACTATTAGGAAGGCAGGCATCCCCCAAATAATTTGTTATGGTTTATTTGGCGCCTGGTGATACTGAAGAGCCTGCATTGCAGTGGGCTAGGGGTGGGGGCAAAGGGCAGAGAGAGAGGCTGCCAACAGGGCCTGAGCCCGGGGTGTGGCAGGAGGCCAGCGTGGCCCAGCACAGCTTACTTGTCTCCTTCGTAGAGGTGAGGCTTCCGCAGGGCCTGCATGAGGAAGGAATTCTCCTCTTTGCTCATGAACTCAGGCAGCGGATGGGACAGGGGGCTCCAGTAGCACTCCTCACTCAGGGAGTGCAGCAGGACCCCTGCCAAATGCTTGGCCGCCACCTGGAAAAGAGGGGGCAGCTCAGATCCAGGCTGCCCCGCCGTGAGGCCCACCACCCCACTCCAAGGAGCCCCTGTGCTCCTCCGTGTCTCCAGCACTGAGGCTACCCCACCCTTCCACTGACTTGATGGCTCCTACTTTAATCTTTTGTCCTCTCTCTTCTCCCACAGAAGAGGCACATTTTCTCCTCTGGCTCCATGGGGCCCAGCACAGCTCTGAGTATTCAGCAGGCCCTTGCGGAGCATAAAGTCACCAGCACAGGGAGCTCGCTGGACCAGATACCATTCCGGTATTTAACCAAAAATTCTACAGTGAGAAGCAGCTGTGACTCCAATTTGACATGAATTGGGGCAGAAAAATGAGTCAAGGTTAATAAGATCATAAACTAATCCCTAAGAATTAGCTCACTACCTTGCTTAGGATAGGAAGGATGAGAGTAGGTTTCAACTCTGATCTAACACTAGGGGCCACCTGCAGAGCTGTGATAAGAAGGATGCTGAGGATGCTTCCCAGGCTTAGTGGGAAAGACTGCTGAGATTGATTAACAATGTCTGCCATGAGCACAGAGAGGGAAAGTAGAAGCATGCACGCAACATGTCATCCCTGATTCAGGGGCTGCCTACTAGGACTTCTGTTGTCTCCCACTGAAATGGGCCCCTAAATAATCCAGCACAGCCTGCATTCCATCCTGGGCCTCCCCCACATTACCACTTTGAAGTTCTGAGTTGCTTTGGTCTCCACAGAGCGCAGGACTTCCCGGAGCTCTCTCATGCCTTTCACAATGTTTCTGGTGGGAAGACAGCAGAAGCAGGGTCATTATCAGCCTAGTGCCCACAAAGTCATCTTCATGAAACCTAGAGAAACTAGGAGAAGACTTCCTGTTTGAGTTTTATTTAAAAACACTCAAGGTCAACTCTGAAAGGTCGAGTTGTAACAACAGGATCCTAGAGCCTCGGGACATCATCCTTCAAAGAACAGGAAGGACTCTTCTTCCCTATAGCCTCTCCAAAACTCAAGCTTCCAGTTTACCACCACAAGGGAACCAAGACTGAGAATTTCAAATAAGATATTATCTTGGCCCAAAAGCCTTGGGTTGGTGTAAAAATTTCTGACTTGGGTCAACCTCAAATTCTCAATCTTCAGCTGTCACATGCAGTCAACATTGGACTCCATCCTCAGCTCTCCGTCCCTATCACTAGGGCCCTAGACCAGCCCACATCACCGGGGGCCTACAGGGCCATAAGGGTCAGCCTCACCCCTTCAGTCAGCCCTCTGGGACTTGAAATACTTTTCAAGCTTTTAAAAGTATGATACATAGGAAAAAAAATATTTTTACACTGCAACCCAGTATATACACACTTCCCTTACATAAAACTGTAGCAATTTTCAATATATTACCTATCACTACTACCTGCAGTCCACTCTATTTTCTATTTTATGTATCTCCATACTCTTTTTAAAATGCTGACTGCAGCCCCCTAACCCATGTAACCCATCCACGCACTGTGGCCTGCAATTTAAAAAACTGCTCCTACTGGCCCTCAAGTGCACTGTCTGACATGCAAGAGTCACAGTTCCCTGTCAAATCTTGGTACGGGCTTCTTCACTGCATTGACAGCCTTTCCTCTTTTCAGCCATAAAAAACCCTTTCAAATATCACTTCCTCCTTGTAGCCTTCCCAGGCCCCTCCCCACGCCTACCCCTCCTGCCTACATCCCTCTTGCCCTTAGTTCCTCTTCTGCAGGAAGCATGACCTTGCATGGGCATTTTCTGTTCACAGGCTGACTCCTCGAGGACTGTGAAGTCTGAGGGCAGAGCTCCAGTCTGGCCCCTGAAGTTCAGCCCCAGCACAGCTCCTGGCACACAGCTTGTGCTCAGCAAGTATCAGAGGATTGCTCTTTTCATTGACTCCAGGGGCTCCTGGGATCACAGCTGACAAGGGCAATTTGGTGCTGGGCCAGCAAATTTGGAAATGAAAGACCACAGAGGGTGAAAAGTCAAAGGCGGTGTGGCAGTCAGGAAGTCACACCAGCCCCTCCTGCAACTTCTATCATGAAGCAGATTACTGGGGACTTTGGGACCTTGAATTGTAAAAGGACAAGTTTATAGATCAATCCCTGCTTTCTGGGAACCTGGATTTGGACAAGAAAGCCAAACTGTGCAAAGTACCCTCATTATAAATACAGACCCATGATTGTAGGGCTGAGAATGGAGACAAAGACACCTAGGACTGAGGCTGAGTCACAGTGACTTTCCCTAGTCTGCCAGAAGGTTCTGAAGAACTGGGAGGGGCCAGAGGACAGAGAAGCACAGCACCCTAAGAGACAGTGTAAGTGTGGGCACTGATACCGATGGCATGTGGCCTGGGGAGAGGCTCACCTCTGTATAATCTCTTCCTCTAGTTAAAATCAGGCCTTCAGTTGGGATTAGTGTCTCCCAGGCTCCTGTCACCTATATACCACATTTATTAAGTTTTGCTAATAGCTACACACCATCAGTGTTATTATTTATGCAACACTTTTCTTCATATCTTTTTTTTTACTTCAGTAAATATCTCACCTTAACCAAAAATACCTGAAATCATAGATTTGCTGTGCCAGTTATTTTTTTGCCAACAGGTATTAAATACAGAAGTGCTTAAAACAAATTAATCTGTGTATCACTTAAAACAACCTAGGGTTTCACTAGGGGTATTTGTCCCTCACTTTGGGAAATCATGGTTTGCACCACATGTTTTCAAAGTGTGGTCCTGGAACCAGCAGCATCAGCATCCTGGGACTTATAAGAAATGCAAATTCTGTGGCCCTCAGTCTAGACCTGTTGAATCAGAAGCTCTGGAGTGGAGCAACAATCTGGGTTTTATCAGGTCTCTAGAGGGTTCCAATGGACATTCAAGTTGAAAACCACCAGTTTAGATGATCCTTGGTGCCTTCTCCTATGCTAAGAAGCCAGAGGTTCCAGAAGGGACAACCTGAGACAGAAACTCCAGCTTTGCAGCCAGATCCTAAAATTGTAATCTTGGGGAAGCAAGGCAGCCTCTCTGAGTCCGCATCTCCCCATCTGCAGGAGCAGGCCTCACTTGCTCACAGTGCTGTCAGGAAGAGAAAGGAATGCGAAGCCCCAGGCATATCCAGGCATGTGGTGGAGGCTCATTAAATATTAGTTATTTTCCTTTCCACTTCTACTTTGGGTCTGAAAGAACCTGTGACTTGTGTCTATTTATTTATTTATTTAGGGGTATTTTTTAAAAATTAAGGTATCATTGATATACACTCTAATGAAGGTTTCACATGAGAAACAATGTGGTTACTATATTCACCCACATTATCGAGTCCCCCCCATACCCCATTGAAGTCACTGCCCATCAGTGTGGTAAGATGACACAGAGCTGTGACTTACGTCTTAATTGGCCATATCATTTTTCATGGAAGTCCAGGAGCTAATGAGTAAGGGGAAGTGACAGAAGTGCCTGAGGGGATCCTCCAGCTCTGTGTCCATCCTCCTCTTCCCACCAGCACCTGCCCTGACAGGGGATGGGAGAGCAGGATCCCCAGGTAGACAAAGCACAGCAGGGACAGGCTGGGAGCCCCCGTGAGCCTGAGTAGGTCAAGTCGGCCGCAGAGGCCCTTCGGTCCTCCTGAGGCCTCTGCCTGAGAAAATAACCCAGAGTTGGACAGCAGGCCATAGGCCACAGGTCAGAGGTCATAGGCCAGGCCAGCTGAGGCAGAGCCTGGTACCAGCCACTACCAGGAGAAAGAAGATGTAGATGCATCAGCTACCAAAAAAGGGAGGAAGGCGGGAGAGCTCTACCCTGGCAGCTGGGTCACAAGGCCGCAGGCTGAGGCAGGGCTGGACCCTGGGGCCACACCAGGGCCCTACAGCCCAGAGGAGAACAGTGACTCTGGGCACCTGTGGGTGACTGTCCACTCTGTGGGATACCTGCCAGCCTGGCTCAGGTTGTCACCAGGAGGCCAGAGCCAAGAGGGACTATAGCCCCTTCTTTTCACTCAGCTCAAGGACTGTCCTCTCTCTGCCTTTAGCATCTACACCATCAACACTGGAGGTGTGTGCCCAGGCCAGCAGCCCTGGCATCACCCGGGGCTTGGGAGAAAGGCAGACTCGGGGACGCTGCCTCCCCCAGTACACATCCCATTAAGGAATCAGAACTGCATTTTAACAAAATCCAATGTACCCAAAGCTGTGTAATTTTACAATTTTCAAATCTGTAAGGGAATTTGGTATCTAAACAAGCTCCCAGGAATTCTTCAGCAAAGCAAATAATCATCCTCAGGCATTTTTTGGGTAGATCCCAGTTTTTATTGAATGCACATAAAGAGGAAAACCAACGCAGAGGTTCTGGTGCTCAGGGCTATACAGGGAGAGATTTGGGCTCCCAGCTGGCACTGACCTGTTCTGAGCTGTTGGGAAAGGCCCTCTGCCTCAATTTGCCACTCTGGGAAATGGGTAGCCAGATGGGATTTCTCCCTCAGCCTGAGCATTCCTGCTCAGGTCTAAAGCTGCCAGTGCCAGGTACAGCTTGGGCTTTTCTGAGCCCTGTGAGAGGCCAGCTTCAAAGATCTCTTTGTTCAAGTCTCTCATGCTGACCTTTCTGAGCAAAGCTGTCACTTTCAACAATATCCAAAAAGAGCCTTAAACAAACCCTGGCCCAGAATCAGGCTGCATACAGAGAAGCCAGGAAGCCCTTGATTCCAACTCCAGCAAAGCCTGGCTGGTCAGGAACAGAAAGAAAGAGATGTGTGTGCAGGGATGGGTCAAAGAAAATAGCTCTCTCCCTGGAGGGAAGCCTCCAGGTGGGATGTGCAAGGAGGTGGAAAGCTCCACTGCACCTGTTGGCCCGTTGTGAGCAGCAGGAAGTGGTGCAGAATTTTCAAATCACGTCTCATGTAGTTTCCACAGCTTCTTATGAGGTTGGTGAGGAAGGCTTCATTATTCTATTAACAGCTCAATGCTTGGCATATAGAAGGCACTCAAGAAATCATTGTGAAATAAATAAGTCCCCATTTTTCAATGGGAAAATTAAAGCCTATAAGATACCTGTTTTTCCAGGCCATCACTTACCCAAGGGGCAAGGTGGGCTTACCATAGGAACCCACAGATTCAGATTTTACCCCATTCTAATTAAAAAGACCCTGAAAAAGACATGACCTGTCTTTCAACCTGGCATGGTTAGTCTTTCCTTTCCTGGCCATTTGAATACCAGGACACCTGGGACTCAATTAACTAAGTCTTTACAAAGTGCCTACTGCATACCCTGGTATGCACTACCTAGTCATCAGCCCTGTGCACATCAGGCATTCAGCAAATTCAGGGGGAATGAACTAAGAGACTGAATGACTGAATGAATAGGAGTCCACAGTCTGCTAAGGTAGTCATACTCTTGATTTATTCAGAGCATAGCAAAGTATTTTGCATACAGTAGGTGCTCAAGAGGTTTTTTTCATTTTAGTTTGGTTTGATTGGAAACAGAGAATGAGAAACAGCATGGAACTCATGGCTGAATGGAACGGAAAGCCACAGTGCACACAACGCTGACCAGAGTCATTGTTTCAGGGGTGGCACTGCTCATTGTGTTCAAGAGGCTTTTTGTCAAAGACCTAGAAGAGTACAGACAGTTGGCAGATCCTAACAGCTGGAGGGTTGATTCAGGAAACAAGGTCAGGTGAAGCTCAAATGGTTATCAAGCTGTTCATTCCTGCCTCAGATCCACAGCATCAGCTTCAAAAACTAAAGCTCTTTACCTCTAGCCTCAGGAAAAGGCTGTGACACTTTTCTTCAGGGCACTGGAGACCTCCAGGCAAGGGGCTCTTTCCTTTCTCATGCGACAGGGGATGGGCAGTGGGGACGGTGGGTGCTAACAATAAATAAAGGCAGTACGCTAAAGGCTGGGAGAGAATGCTCTCTCCAGTGTGACTCAGAGGTCTCCCGGTGCCCCCAAAGGTGACACAGCCCACCAGGAGGCTCTCCTGGGCTTCACTGTTGACGCTAAATCTCCCCCTTACAGCACTCTGTCTCTTGCCCTCCCCACTGCTGCAAATACTGGGTGGCTGCTGAGAATAAGACAAAATTACTGTGGACTGAACACATCCCTCAGAGTCTTTCCAAAGAGCAGACTGGGTTTGCTAAGGTGCCTCTCCATTCATCAGAGACCCCCCGCAATCTGCAGTCCTGGCTGCCTTAACTGCCTCTCGACTCAGCACCCAGCAGGCAAGGTAGTGCGCACACATACAGCAGAAAGGGAGAATGCTTTCATAAGGCTGAACAACTTGCCAAGCCCAGGGGAACTCCCTTAGAAAACACACTTACTCCCTTCTCCATTGTTTGGTTTTGGTACAGTGAGCACGTATTGCTTTAGTAATTTAAAAAAATATATTTTTAACATGCACAAAACAGCCCACCTGGTTCAATACACGTTGACCAAGCTCACTCCCAGAACTGAGCCAAGAATGGCTCTACAGGTCTAGGCAGCAAGAAGGGGAAAAAGCCAACCCTAAGAGAAATGGCCCCTTGCCCACTCCGGGGGAGGCGCCTACTCGGCTCATGTTCTTGTTCTTGGGAGATGCCAGAGACTCAGTCTCCAGTCGCCGGCATGGACAATCAGCTTCCCTGGCATTGCATCACCCTCAGCTACCCTTGCTGCCTCTTGCCGGACGCTGCTTCTGCAAAGGAGAACCAAACTTTTTCCACAGCAGTATCCTGGGCCCAGCTGCACTGCTCCCACCAACAGCATGTCAGAAAGGTGCCCTCTCCTGGTGACTGGCACCTACAGAACCGCCGTGTGTGAGGCTTGGACCAGAGTCCACGGCTGCCCTCTGGTGGCAGTGAGAGGAAACAGAACCGCAGGTATCCTGGGCCCCTGCCCTTTGGGAGGGGGCCATCCAATTCAGGATTGTCCTTCCAGGCCAGTACTTTGAGTTCCAGTTCATCAGACACAGAACAAGGGGCAGAGGTCATCTGGGGGAACTAACGATGGATAGGGCAAAGTTCCTGGAAAAAATTAATGATGAACAGACACACACAATGAGTAATTAATTGGGCAGCAGTTTCAGAATTAGCCAGCATAAAGGAGGCTCAGGCTTACCCAAAGCTCAGAATAGAAGAAGGGCTGTCTGGAGGTCAAGAAAACGTCCCCACTTTGCGCAGTGGAAACACCATACCCTTTACATTATGTCAAATCCTCAACTGTAGGAACAAGGCTGGACCCTGGGAGCAGGCACCGTCTGTGGCCATCTGGCCCCAGGAAAGAGCACCCCATTCTCAGCAGGGACTCTTCTGGCCCTCCGGAAGCTGGGCCCACCACAGACCCATATGGGAGTGAGCTCCAGCTCTCAGATGCCACCCGGAAGCCTGTCCTGCCATCTGTCACTGCTCCTGGGGCCCTAAGGGGTCTCCTCTGGCGGGCAGGCCGCACTGCTGCCGTGGCGCTTCTCCCCCTGCCCCAGGGCAAGCCATCTCCTCAGAGCGGCCGCGCATACCTGCCTCCTTCCCTCCCTCCACAGAGCACACCTGCCTCCACCCTTGGCTCCCTGCTGGGATGTAAACTCCACAGGAGGGACCCCTTGATCCCAGATCCAACCCCACAAGTAAGGTGGGGTGCCCGGCACACAGTGGGTGCTCAGAGGTTATCTGTGAAATGAACTGCTGGGCTGTTCTCTTGGCTTTTCCTCCTTGGCCCCTTCCCCATCCTGGGCCATAACCTCTGGACACAGGAAGGGTTTCTCCCTCTTACCAAATATCCCAAGAGCCCAGCCAGGTGGGGAAGAATTTAACCAGCAGGAAATGGCTCTGGAGGCCTTTAAAGCTTTTCAAAGCTGCCCTGCAGAAGACCTAATGTCAGGGATCTGGGTTCCAATCTACCCCTGAACTTCTGCTTCTCACACCTCAGGCTAAGACAGTGGTTCGCAACTGTGGGGGGCTTTGCGCCCACTCCCAGGGCATTCGTCCATGTCTGGACGCATTTTTGGCTGTCACACTTGGGGCAGGGGAGCTACTGGTATCTAGAGAGGGGAGACCAGGATGTCGCTAAAACCTACAATGTGCAGGACAGGCACCCGCAACCAAGGGTATCTGGCTCAAAATGTCAGCAGGCTGAGGCTGAGGAACCCTGGGTTAGTGTGACTTTATATATTTTTAACTTGCTAACAAAAATTAATGTGTAAGAAAAGTTTTAGAACTGGTGACTTACCTACAAAGATTAACTTTGACCTGGAGACCACAATGTACAGTTACAAAAGCTCACTGATGTAGCCCCACTGTGGGTGGGTGGCAGGCTAGGCCCAGGACTGTGCAGGGAGGGTGGAATTGGGCTCTCAGGTTGGATAGACTCCACTCAGCACCAGGCCTGCTGGCTCTACTGCCTGTTAGCCCTGGGGCTTCAGGCAAGTTACTTCACCTTTCCTATCCTCAATGAAATGGGGATATTTTTAGTTCCTACTTCACAGCATTCTGCCTGGCATGCATGAAGTATTCAACAAAAATTAGCCACTATTAAGAAGAAAGGTATAAAGAAATTGTTTAAAGCCCAGCCAAGCACCCAGGGCTGCAACTCTTGCTTTAAGTATCTGTCACATTGCAGGGCCACCTCTGGGCTGCATGTGGCCACAGGAGACCGGCAGAGGGGCTAAGTTGCTGCCACGCATCCTGGGGACTGCTGCTCACACTCAGGCTTTCATATGTTCAGGCTGTTTTCTTGGAAAGAAATGATGATTCAACTTTCATTCCTCTTATTTGGGAGGTGCAGGGGGTGCGTGGCAGTCAGCACCCTGGCTTTAATAACTGAAATGTGTGCTTCAGGAGGAAAAGAGGACAAAGGGAAGGGAACAGAGACACAGGAACAGAACTGTAACTGAAGTTAGTTGGGCTTTCCTGGAGGGGTGATGGTTGGTTAATGCCTCTGTCCACCACAGTGCACACACGCACAAACTCACGTGCACACAGCTTCATGACCCTCACATACAGCCTGAGTATGCAGAGTACAGACAGGGGAGGAAACAGGCCAGGGGTGCGGTCAGCTTCAGGAAGAGGAGCAACCCTCTGAGAACGGTGATTCAGGGCCCCAGAGGAGCAGAAAGAGCCCTGAGTCAGTGCAGCAAGGATCGGCCCAGCCATCACCAGGGCCCGGTCCTTCTCCCATACCGCCCACAGGCTGCCCTCCCGTACCCCCAAATTGGACATGGAAAGGATTTCAAGTCTACTCATATCTGAAGTAGAATCCCAATGGGGCAAGTCCGGCAAGTTACCTTATGAGTCTTCATCCCCTTTAGAGTGAACTGGGGTCACATGACCTCCTTCATAGAGTATTGTACACTGGGCACATGGCCCTGCCTAGCACACAGCAGGGGCTTGGTAACTGCTGGCTCTCTCTCTCCTTCCTTCCTGGCTGCCCTTGACAGTCACCTTAACCTCATCACACCTGCAGAAAATGTGGTGTGGGGAAGGGGAGCAGGCAGTCTGCGGGTGGAGTTGGGGGACCTCCTCAGAGAGGGAGTTAACAGCTAGCTATACCTTCCACGCCCTGAGTTCAGTACTTGAGGTATCTTTTCATTCCCTCCCTCTCCTTGAATCCTCATGCCCCCAGCAAGTAGGAAAAACATAAGTCCCCTGTTAGAGGGGCGGAAGTAGAGCTGGAGGGTAGAGGAGGCCCTCCCTCAGGGTCCTCGACCAGCTATCCTCTCCCAGGTCCCACCCTGATGTCCCCCAGATGGCCATGGCAGCCACCACACTCTTCCAACCAGAAGCTGGGACCACATCCACCAGGCTCACACATTCTCAGGAGAACAACACTAGGCTGAGGGTCTGGGGGTGGCAGCAGGGTCTTCTGAACCCCAGGGTTTCTGCTGTGGGCAGGATAGCCTAGTGGTTAAGAGAATCAGCCAGGCCCTGCAGGCATAATTCCAGGCTCCTAGAACTCTCCCTTCTAAATGGGATAACCGCTCCCATTTTTCTTCCTGGCAGCTCTTCCCCAAAGCAAGTGCAGGTTTTACTGCCTCAGCAGCTTCCTGAGGCTCGGCCCTTCCCACGGAGGCGCCTCCGCACACCTCAGTCTGACAGGATGTGAACGAGCCAGTCCCCACGGGTCCTCTGGAGAGAGCACACACACACACACAGGCCAGAGAAGAGAGGCCACACTTAATGCAACCCATGTCAGGAACACCCCGGCTCTGGGAGAAATGTCCAGGTCCCACTCGGCTGCCAGCAACCTACCCCTTCTTCAGGTTTGTCACATAAGCGCTCTGGAGGGCGGCTTCCAGGAAGTAGCTGAGCTCATAGTCAACCGGGTTGGAGCCTTTCAGCTGCCGCGACGTTGTGTTGTTTGTGATCTGGGAAGGGTAACACAGAGAGCCACTGTCTTGAAGTTCTGAGTCAGAGGAGCTGGGGTGAGGGTCAGCCCAGGAAGAGGCGGTGGCCCCATTACCATCCCAAGTCCCCAGATGCCTTGGGGCACATGGTGCAATTCTCAGACCGAATTTAAACTAACTTGCTGTAATTTAAAATATGTCCAAAACACTCCCTCCTCACCCAAATGCTGGATGCTCAAAACAATCTTACAAAGTTTGTATGTACCTGGACCTCAAACTCAAGTCCAGCCAGCTACAGATTCAGGCTATTTCTACCACTTAGGGGTTCATTTATTCAACAGACACTTGAGTGCCTACCACATGCCCAGCCCTGCACTGTTGCTGTCGTATAACCATGGAACATCAGAACAGCCCAACAGCTAATACCCCTGGTTACAGGAAAAGCTAAGGAACTTGCTTTATTGGTATTAACTGAGATGTCCTTGAGCCTCAGCCCCAAAAGGGTCCCCCAGTCCCAATAAGATGTGCCTGCCTTTACTATGCCCCTTTTCTGATCTGAGAAATAAATCAACAAACCATCCACCTTATCTTTCATAATTTCAAGTAGATTTAAGATGTTCTTAGCTCCTTGGTGGTTGGAGCAGAGTCTTTGGACAGACACACAGCACTTCTGAGAATACACAGGGTTCTAGGGCTGCCCTCTCTCTACCCAAGATAACAGCTCTTGGGGCCCACTTGTTTGCCCACTGCCACTGGGCACTGATTCTAGCCCCTGGACATCATTACAGCCCATCATTTGAATCCCCTTTAAAAGTCCAAAGCCTAGGCTTCTGGCTGAATGGAAGACTTTCTCTTTTTCATGGAAATTTCCTCCAAACCCCATGCAATTCTAATGTGAAGAGCTCCTAACACATTGCTGTCTAGCAGTGATGCAAGAGAGCAGAGGTCAACTTGACCACAAGCCCCAGTGTGGACTTGTGGACACCCTGCCAGAGGACACGCTTGAGTCCTGTTCCTGCCGAGCCTCTCAATCACTTCTTCTTTCTTCTCAAGTCCAACCAAGCAAACGGACTCTAGGGCAGGGCTCTCAACAGGGGGGCAATTTTGCCCTCCAGGGACATCTGGCAGTATCTGGAGACGCTTTGGGTTGTCACAACTTGGGGAAGGGGGTGCTGCTGGCATCCAGTGAGTAGAGGCCAGGGGGGATGCTGAATACTTTATAATACATAGGGTAGCCCCACACAACAAAGAATTATCTGGCTCCAAATGTCAGTAGTGCTAAGATTGAGAAATGCTGCTCTAGGGAAATTGGCCTAGACTGAGGAAGACTCCTCCAAACAGGCCTGTCACAAAACAGGTGCTGCCTTGACATTTGGGCACTGGCCAAAGCAGGTGGGGTTCAAATGTCTCCTGGGCCCTGAGTCTCTCAGCACATGACCACCTCCTCCTTCAGGACACCAGTCGTGATCTACTCTACTAAACAGAATGACTAAGTGCCACCCCCAGTTCTGCTCCCCAGGTAATCAGACCCCCACTCCCAGGGTTCAAGTCCTGCCAATGTCACTTGTTAACTGTTTGAACTCCAGGAAGCTATTTAACTCCTCTCCAAACCTGAGTTTGCTCACTTGTAAAATGGGAATAGTAACAGGGGCTACTCCAGCCCATTGATGTGAGGGTTACATGAGAGAATAGCTGCAGCCTAAGGTAAAAGCAGAGACTCAGTAACTGTTAGCAGTATCTTTGTTGCATTTAGCTGACTGTTCTCCTCCCATTAAACTGATAGCCTCCCATAAATAAGGAACTGGGGTAACATCATAGCATGCTGCTAATACCCACAACTGTTGTCCTGCAGAGAGCTCATACAGGATCCCCTCCAAGGGTTGCTGGGAGAAGAGGAGGCCTGAGAACTTCCAGACCCCCATGACCCCCTATGCCCTCACCTCCCCTAGGGGATGCCGTAGGGAGCTTCCAGGGCACCTGAGAGCAGAGGAGGAGGTTTCACTGCAAGGAACAGCCTGACTGTACTTCTTCCAAAGAGACAACGGTGAGCAAATGAGTTAACTCTCTAAACCTCATCAATTAAATAGGAATAACTAATATGTACTTCATAGAGTTGTGAGGTGCAAATGAGATAATGGATATAAACAGGACATCTCACACTTGGTTGCATAAACGGAACTCCAGGGCCCTCCCAGCCAGTGTGGACTCATCTGTTTTTTAAGTCTATTTTCTGGCAGTCGAGAGTCTCATTTGGATAGAATCAGTAATGAGTGTTTCAGCTGATGAGGTAGGGTGTCTTTGGAGGGGTGCAGAGTGCCTTTTTCTAGGGTACGAGGATGACCTGAGGGCTCAGTGGGGGCTGGAGATACAGGTACTCAATAAAATGCAGCTTTGGCCATGGTCCTAGTATTCCCACCTCACCTTCTCCAATTCCTGCAGGAACACCTGGGTGATCCAAGAGGCCCTCTCGAAGCAGGTGATCACTTCCTCCTCTCTCTCAGTCATGCGGTGGCGGGAAGCGATGGAGTTGGGTAGGCGTTCCAGCGAGAGGCCTGCAGGAAGAAGACAGCACCTCAGACCTGCCCTGCTTAGGCCCCCTGACTCCGGGTCCTTCCCATGGGCCCAGGGTGGGCTCATTCGAGGACACCTACACTCTGAAGCAGCCAGCAGGAGGTAGAACACCACAGAGGGGAAGGAGGGTGCTAAAGCCATGGTGGTATTAGCGGCAGCTGGGATCAAGCTGTGGGCTGACAGCAGGCACCCATGCTCAGGTGGGGAACAATGCTATGGCACCCCTGTGGCTAGTTCCTGCCTATGCTTCCAGGCTACCTCTTCCAGGAACCATTCCTGATCCCCCTTCCAGTGCTGGTAGAAAGAATATACTCCCCAGTCACTCACCACTTCTACACTGTATTGTGGTTATTTATGTCAGCTCTTTGCTTCCCCAGTAACTGAAAGCTCCATGTGGGCAAAATGTGAGCATTTTTGGACTACGACAGTCCTTAGCACACAATAGACACTCAAGGTACAGAGCATTTTACATGCATTCCTCCTGTGGAATCAGTTTCTACTTCACCTAAATTATCTGTATGCAGGATAACCTGCCTGGAGTGGGCAAGTGCGTTTTTGCCTCCCAGGCCTCCACTTCTGGTTCAGCTGCCACAGCCACTCACCTTCCCTCTGAGCACCCCCTCCTGCAGTCTCAGCCCCATGCTTCAGAGGGCAATGACCCCACTCCATCGCCAGGACAGGCACCTGAGCAGGTGACCAGTCAGTCACCAGGGTCACAGTGATTGGCTAAGGATGACCCCATGGCCCGCTTTGGGCCAAAAAGAACCAATCCTGGAATTTTTACTCTTTCCACGGGGGTCGATAAACTGGTAAGAGGTCAGCCTGGAAATGTCAGGGAATGTCTACCTTAAAATGAAACTATGAGTTTATTTTATATGAATATAGCTAGTACAGCTGAACTGTATGTTTGAAAATGGTTAAGATGGTAAATTTTGTTATTTTCTTTTGTTTGTATTTGTTATTTTATATGTTTTTACCACAATAAAAATTTTTTTAAAAATAAAATAAAATATAATAAGAGCATAGCTCTAAAGCAACAAAACAAAATCCCAAAACCAAAAAACTAACAAGCCAAGAGGTAAAAGCATTGCTATATGTGTTAGAAGTGAATGCTGTAAAGGAAAACAACTTCTATGTGTGTCAGGTTTGTATATTTTTAAAACAGGAAAAAGAGAATAAACTCTTAGACATAAAAAAAAAAAAAGAAGTACTTTTTTTTACTACACAGAGTAAAGTGAGACATGATGGAAAAGAGCAGATCCCTAAAGACTGTTGGGGAGCCTTGCCCGAAGGTTTACCCCTTGGAGCTTCCCAGGATAAGAGCCAAAGCACACCTACCCCTTTTTGTGGTCAAAGTCCATTTAAATCGTGTTTCTGCTGCATACAACTAACATAGGCCTAACCAGAGCGTGCTGTCCCAGACTGCTGGTCCCCAGTGGGCAGAATCCAGGTCTCTCTTCTTTGTGCCCCAGGCAGGACTTTACATGTAGTAGGTACTCAAGATGAACTTACTGAAGGAACTATAAGAATAGAATTCTCAACCCTTTCATGCCCTGGTATAGCCAACCATTCCCTCCTTGGGTCCAGTCTATACTTTATATAGAGAGCCCCACCCCTTTCTTTTAGTTATTTATTCACAGGTTTGCCCAGCCAAACTGAGGCCCTTAAAGACATCAACCTTACTGCATTCACCTTTCTACAACCTGGCACATAGTGTGCATGCGGCAAGCATTGGCTGGCTGGCTGAAGAAATGGCAGGTCTGATCATGTCCCACAGAGTACAAAGTGCTCTGCAAATACAAAGGTAAGGTATTGTTCTTGGCTAAATCCCGACTCCTACAAATTCAGTCACCTTGCCCTCTGCCAGGCTGGTGTGTGCACAGGTCCAAAGGTCAGGGTGCTTCAGCCTGGGGGAAGGCAGGCTCAGAGTGTGAAGGCCCTTGCTCAAAATAAATACTCAGTTACCTCAGCCACTGAGTGTCAACGTCCCTCCTGCCAAATGACTCATAACCAGGAAGGAAAACCTTCTCACTTTGGAAGACTAAAGAGGGAGAGGAATAGAGGGAGCACTAGAGGAGATGCAGAAAGAAGGCATGCCCACTGTTTGCTGCCAGTGCTGGACCTCTGCTTCCAAGGGTGGAGCCTATCTGCCCTGCAGGAGGTGAGGCAGACCTGCAAACTGTCCAGAGGCCCGGTCTAGGGGACCAACTGCAGATGGCAGGAACATACCACCTACTCCAGAAGACAAATCTGTTTTTGAACATGGCTATTCTGTGGCTCCCCTGAGAGATGTGTTGCTGGCTAGGTTCCCTCCTGCCCCAACTCTGGGCCCAGAACTGGGATGGACAATGCCAGCTGCCAGCAGGTTCAGGCTGCCATTCCCAAGCCTACAGTGAGCTGGCCACTACAAGTAGTGACTTCAGTAACATGTCTGTGAGGCCTCCTTCTTCCTCACGCTTCATTTGTTCTGCTCCCAGCAGGGGCCGCTCCACACGCTTCTACCAGAATTCTGAATCCCAGCTTCTTTGAAAGTTCACAGCAAAACTGCCTGTCTCTGAAGCCTTAAGCCTTCCAACATTGGAACAAGCAGAATGTTTTAGCTCCATCTCCATAGTGCATGCCTTTGTCCTATCCTCTACCCACACTCTGCCCATTTCTGATTGAGCCTTGTACTCTGTGAGAGCGGGAACTGAAGTTTCATGAGTGGATGGATGCATAGATGGATGCTGAGTGCCGAGCCTTCTCTCTTCCCATTTAAAAATTGGCTCCCGTAGAATTCACAAATCATAGTATATTTATACAGTGGAATACTACTCAGAAATAAATAAGACGACAAACTCTTGATATGCATACAACATGCATCAGTCTCCCAGAAATTATGTTGCACAGAGGAAACCAGATATTAAGTACATGCTGTATGATTTGTTATATGACATTCAAAAAAGGAAAAATTATGACCTATATTAATAGAAACTGACCAAACATTGCCTGGGTATGAAGGGGAGAGGATCAACCGGGAAAAGTCCTGAGGAAACTATCTCGGGTAATACAAATGTTGTCTTTTTGGGGTGTTGGTTACATAGGTACTTACTTATCCAACTATCAAATTATATACTTAAGGTGTGTGTACCTCACTGTATAAAAATTTATCTAAAAATAATGGATATAATGCCATTTTTAAAGGGAGCAGTCACGATTCCGGAAACCAAAGGATCAAAACAGAGGGCTATAGTCACTGAGGTGGTCCTCTGTGAACTCCTTTCCAACTTACACGCGACGAAAGCTTCCTGGGCCTGGCAATGGCTTTTCCTAATGGGGGACACAGTCCAGTCAACCCAGTTCTGCCCACAAGGGGCGTCTTTACATTAGGTTTATTCTTTGACTCACATAAAGGTCCATTTTCCTGTCCAAAAACATCTGATTGGAAACCTACTGGGGACTCCAACTCTTGGGTTCCTTCACCCTCTGCCCCCTGAGCATTTCTGCACAGATGGCCAAACCACAACACTAGATCCAAGATGTGGTGGGCTGCTCCTGAGCCCAGCCCCCAAAGGATCCCAGTGGTTGTCATGCAGCCCCATGAACAGGCAGGAAGCCAGGGGCTGCCGGGAAGTGTGAGGCACTGCGCCTCATGATTCCCCCTGGCAGATGGGCCTTTGTGTGAAAACACCCAGCTCTACAAGCCAAGGGAGGGCCAGTTTAAAGAAGAGCACTTGCTTTTTCATTAACTCAACTTTCAGTTTGAAGGCAAGCTGATCCTGGTACAGCCCCAGCTCAGTACCAGGGCTGGTCCCAGCTTCTTCAGTCTGAGATGACTCATCACATCCCAGACAGCAGCCCTTCCAAGAAGCCCCGCCCTTGGGGCCCTGGGCCTGGATGCAGAGGTGGAGAGCAACTGCTTCCTCTGGAACGGAACCTTCCAGATGGGTGGACTCCTCCCTTCTGACTACCCAGCTGGTCTAAAAGCACAGGGCACCTCCAGAGGGCTAAGCCCAGAGGTGGGTACCCTAGACTGGGTGGGGAAAGGGGAAGGAATGCAAGTAATCACTTCAGTTCTTCAGGAGGAAGCCTGGAGGCCAGGTAAGGAAGAACACTCTTGTATCACTCAAAAGTGTCCATTGTAGGAATGCAAAATAATGCAGCTACTGTGGAAAACAGTCTGGTAGTTCCTCAAAAAAAGAAAAACAGAATATGACCCAGCAATTCCATTTCTGGGTATGTATCCAAAAGAACTGAAAGAGTCTCAACGAAATATTTGTACACCCATGTTCATAGTGGCTTATTTACAACTGCCAAAAGGTAGAAGCAGCCCAAGTGGATGAACGGATAAAGAAAATGTGGTGTATAGATGCCATGGGATATTATTCAGCCTTTAAAAAGGAAGAAATCCTGCCATATATGATAACATAGATGAATATTGAGGACATTCTGCTAAGTGAAATTAGCCAGTCACAAAAAGACAACTATTGTATGATGCCACTTGTATGAGAGACCTAGAGTGGTCAAATTCATAGAGACAGACAGTGGAACAGCAGTTACCAGGGGCTGAGGGGAGGGGCAAATGAGATATTTAGTGAGTTTGGAGTTTCAGTTTTGCAAGATGAAGAGTTCTGGAAATTGGTTGCACAACAATGTGAATGTACAAAGCACTATTGAACTGTACATTTAAAAAATGGTTAAGATGGTAAATTTTATGTTATATATATTTCACCAATTTAAAAAATTTGGGAAAAAAAAGAAAGCAGGCAATTTGCCTCCTTGTGTCAGTGTCCAAAAAGCACACACTCTTTGGTCCACTAACTCTTCTAGTAATTTACTCTTTAAAAAGTTAAATGATGTATGCAAGAAAAATGATATTTAACCTACAGGTCCAATAACAGGGGACAAGTTTGCTAAATTACAGTAGATTCTTACAATGAAATGCTACAGAGCTCCTTTAGTGATGTAGACGTGTACTGGAAAATGATTCACAGAATGTTTG